GTAGAAGGTTGGAAGAACGAGGACACGACAAAGAGCCGGCACCCACACCAGCCACTTTCCAGTGAGAAGTGCCACAGACCAGCACCGAGCACACAGCCCGCCCGAGTTTCAGTATTTTCTGAGCTTAAGGGGATGAGATGGGACGTGTAGTGAAGGGCTGGCGAGGACGGAGAGCGGAGCCCACTCCTGCCTGCCGTGGTGACGCCAACACCCGCTGGGGACAGACTGCAGTCAGGGAGCCATGACAAATCCTGAACACAAGGCAACAGGAGCTGGTGACAGAACCAAACAAGGGCGGGATGAAGACAGGGCATTTTGAAGGAGGAACTAATAATACTCGGTAGTCACTGACTACGGAACATCACAGTCTCGGAGAGAAGGCTCGAGACAGAGAAGCTGGATGTGGCTTGGGGAGCAAATGAGATCAGTCTGGGGAGCTTGTGATGGTGGGGAGGGCAGGTGGGCCACGGGGACGCCCTGCGGGCAGGCAGAGAGGCCACTGGGGCTCAGCTGGGAGGCAACCAGCTACCAGCGAGAACTGTCAGAACCGCTCCGGCCAAAACAGAACTGAAAAACCCCACAGCAAAGTGGGCTAGAACAGAGAATCCGGTCCCAGAGGTACTTCCTGCGCGTCCATTTAGAGAAGAAGACATAACCGGAAGAGCAAAGTATTCTCCACAGAAGCTAAGGCCAAGAGATGACTCAAGTAAAAAGGGTGAGAACCTGGTCCAGAAGCGTGGAAAACACTGCATGGTACATCCCCTCCTTAAACGGGCCAAAACGCTCTAGAAAACAGGCCTGGTTACACTTTGCAAACGTATCATGCGAACAGTGTTCACACTCTGGAAATCACTGAGCCCGAGACATGCAGGGGAACCCATTTAAAATAACAGGAAAGAATCTAACAGAACCTGAATGAGGAGAAACCAAGTCTGAGTTTCAATGGACTGAAGTGCTTTGAAAACTCTGGCAGTTTAGACTTTAAAAATGTTGAAACATCTTTGTAGTTTAACATTACCAACCAGCATTTCCCAGGTTTAAAAAGTACTTTCAACGTATGGCACCTCCAAGAAAATGTGGACCATGTGTGCTGTGATCCTGCTGTTTGTTGGTCCTCAGTAGTGAGGACGGATTAATGCTGGTCCATATGCTTAAAAAAATTTCTTAGAGATTTCCTGTGATAGCATTTAGGGTTTATATTTAGACCAGGAATAAACGGAAGCAGGAACCATTTCCAGACAACTACACGTCTAACTCCGTACTCATGAGGATCCCGATCTCCGCGGCACTTCCCACACTGCTCCCCAGAACACGGGTGTTTGCAGATGCTCATCAACGCTCCACTGAAGAGGGAAGAAGTGAACGCAGCCGTTCACTCCAGACCACACGCCCCTACTGCGTGGCATATGCCATTTTTCACATTTCTGATTCTAAAATCAGTATGTGCTCTACAAAACAAAACATACTCTTTAACATGGTAGTAGGGTTTTCTTCCCCCGAAGGCTATTATTAAACTAAGGGTACACCTTACATACATACACAAGTACATACACACACATATCCTGTAAGATACGCATTCTCTGTAAAATAGATGTCTCCCTATAAGACCCTCAATGCACATTAACGTATTAAAAGCCCCTCAATATGCAACCTAGCATTTCCTAAATGTATTTACTCACAGATCTTCCCTTCCACTCCAATATCTTACCTGTCACAGAACACAGGTGGGCAAATACTACTCTAGGCAAATCAAAAATTACTGAAAATGCAGGGAGTGGTAAAGCTGAGCTCCTTTATTATAAAAAATAATAGTGACTAAACAAAGCTTCATAATGTCAAGTGATGACAGGCGTGACAGGCTTCACCATAAATGCCCCAGTTAAACTGCAGACACTCAAAAACAAAACACACAACATCCTGCACGGGACAAAGGCACCAACACACAGGACACTTGCAAAGGTACCACTGAGGAGTAACGGCGGCAAAACTGCTCATCAGGCCAAGTGTCTTCAGCACCCCTAAGCCCTCCCTTCTGACTTTTGGGTCCCCTGTGGGTAGACATAATCACCCCCTGGTTTCAGGAGTCTCTATCTGATGACTGACTAGTGAACCATTCCTGCACCGAGTGTCCAAGGCTACCTTCACCCTGGGAAGTGAAGGAAAGACTTCTGTCCAAAATGAGGCATTTATTTGCAAGAAGCAGAAAGCTGAGGGGGAACAGCTCCAAAGCCGCCAAAGTGGATCCAGCCCAGTCTCTGGCACATTCTAAGTGCTGAGGAATAGCGGTTATTACCACAGGCAAGATGATTCTGTAAGACTGGAGAAGTCAGAAGAAATCACTCTTGGACTTTTTTCTTCTCCACCCTCCCCCAAACTGAAGTCCCCTAGTTCCCAAAGACAAACTCAGGGCTCGGGGAGGGGAAAGGCCTCCAGCCCTCATGCCTGGGCCTCCAGCTGGGACTGAAGTCTGCAGTCTCCTGTTTCTCAGCCTCATCCACGATTTCAAACCTTTCCTTCCAGTCTGACCAGAGCAGGCCTCCCTCCCCACTGCAGGAAGGGGGCTCTGAGCTCCCTGGCTTTTCTCCCACGTCCTGACTTACGGAAGCTGCCCAGGCACACTTAACTATGTTAGCTAATAGGGGACACGTTCTGTGCACCTGTTTTCTCAGATGGCCGAAAAGTATCCCTAATTTGTGTCATTTAGAATACGTTTCTTAAATCAATAGTAACATTTCAATGTTCCAGGCTACAGCACAAAATGTGTCGAAAGAATTTATTTTTTTCTAATTTTTAGCAAATTTACATTCTTAGGCATAATGACGACAGGTTTAAACATCCATCTACTATTGCTAGGAGTTGTAAAGTTAGCAAAAAAGGACAGGAAGTTCACAGCATCTCTAAGAAAAGGAAACTTCCACGCTAAAGACAATTCACTAGTACATAATCCACTGCTGTAATTCAACAAAATAACAAAACATAAATGAGGTTCATGAGATTAAGAGTTTCATGGAGGGTGTGAAACTTGCAGGGACCTAAAGCAGCTGAAGGATTAAGATGGGGGGATGGGAAGATGAGCTGCAAGGAGAACCTGAGGGCTGAGAGTCAGATATTTACCCTACGTGTCAACACACCTGGCAAGGGACCTGCAAATAAAGCAAACACCAGAGTGATTCCAGCACTGAACTGAGTGAGCAGAAACATCTCGCTCGGAAGCAGGCTCACTGCTTCTATTCTCTTTTGTCTTCATAAGCTAACCCACCGCATTATAAATACATGAGTGCTATAGAAAGTTGGACGAAAAAATAAAAACCAAAAGAATAAACTAAAAATAACCCATAATTCCACTATTCAGAGATAATCACTACAAACATTTTGGCTTATTATCCTTTAAAAAATGTACATACACACTAAAAAGAAAAATTTAAGCATTACATATACTGTTTTACAGCATGTTTTTGTCTCACTGAATACAGAATTACAGAAATGCAAAGATTTATCTAAAAATGCTGAGATCATAATCCTTAATAGCAAAACCTGAAAACAAATGCTCAATAAGAAAGCATTAAATAGTGTACCCATGACAGAATATTAATCAATCATTTTTTTGTATTTTCTTAGACTAAATCCTTAAAAGTAGATTAGCTATTTCTAAGTGTATAAATACATACATACACATATATATATATTTGTTTACGTAGTTCTCTCAGAAAAATCACTCTTTTTCAGGCAATGAATGAATGGACTCATTTCTCCATACCCTCACCCGAAGTGGCTTATTTTTCAATCTATGCCCAAGTTTTGAAAAACAGTATCTCACTGATTTACTTTTCCAAGAGTACTGCTAGTAAAGCTGAAATTTTTGCCGTTTCTTGATCCTTCTTTTAAAAATTACCAGTTTGCTCATTTTTTCCCCCCACGGGGGAGGGGAGGGCATCGTCTTTACCTTGGTTTTTATAAGCCCTCTTTTTATAGTAAGCAAAGTAAATTTACTTGTTAAGTTACAATATTTCTTTCAGTGTGTCATTTGCTTTTTAATTCTGTTTATGGAATTTTAACCTGCAGAAGTTTAATTATTCTAAAGTAATGAAAAGAGCCTTTTCCTTTACAGTTCCTACTTTTGGTGTTATGCTGAGAGGGTTGCTCCATCCTGAGATCATTTGTATTATCTTTTGGTTCTTAAAAACTTCGGTGGGGGGCTTCCCTGGTGGCGCAGTGGTTAAGAATCCGCCTGCCAATGCAGGGGACATGGGTTAGAGCCCTGGTCCGAGAAGATCCCACATGCCGCGGAGCAACTAAGCCCGTGCGCCACAACTACTGAGCCTGCGCTCTAGAGCCCGCGAGCCACGACTACTGAGCCCACGCGCCTAGAGCCTGTGCTCTGCAACAAGAGAAGCCACAACAATGAGAAGCCTGAGCACCGCAATGAAGACCCAATGCAGCCATAAATAAATATATTAAAAAGATAAAAACTTGGGTGGGGGGGGATATTTTAAAAACACACACGTTCATCATCCTAAAATTACAACCATCTTTACTACTTTATAAATATTTTCACTAATACATACACATTTTCAGCACACATTTCATGCAATCTGTTTTCCAAAGTATTTTCTGACATAGGCCTTTTTTAAAAATCGTAGCTTGTTAGATATGAACAGTCTTAAATGGTTTCATAAATTTAAGGCCAGTGAGTCACATCACACCAACTTAACAATAGTCCCAAAGTTCCAGAACTGTCCCTTTCTATCCCATCAGTGCCCAATTACTCCCATTCAATGTCCCCCAGTTACTAAAAGACCAAGAAGAATAAGCTCATTCCTGGTAGGCGACCCAGCTCTGCATAATGAATTCGGTCCTAATTATCAATGATAAGATACCAATCTTGAAAGCATTTCAATTTTGCTCTCTTCTCCTCTTCCACCTTCATATAAGTTAGACACTTTGGGAGCATCTGGTTAAAAGCTGGAGCCCTGGAGTCTCCCTGTCATGTTTTAACCCAGGCCTCACCACTCACTAGGCCTCATCTTAACCACCCAAAGCCTCAGCTGCTTCCTCGACGCCGTCAGAGGACTGAAAAACAGCACCACACTCTGCGGGGCCTGATCAAGATTTTAAGTGGGTCGATGACCGTGAACAAAGTGTGAGTTACATGAGCTGCAGCAGGTAGCGCAATGGCACAGGGACACCTGCCCGTCACAAGGTCCCGGCCCTACAGGAGGTCTGTCTATTCCAAAGGAACCACAAGTCTAGTCCAAGGTTAACTGCTAGGACAGTGACCCGGGTGAGGCTCCCACCCCGGATGGAGCATCAGGACCTGAGAGGAGCCTTTCCAAAGCAGCAGGAGTCTGTCGGGCGACAGGAAGGGGACACGATACCCGAGACCGAGGGAGAGCATGAGGAAAGGGCAGCAAGGCCAATTCTGGGAACGGGCGCTGCAGTGATGGGGAAGCTGCCAGGAGACTCTGCTCACTTGATCCCAGAGTCCCAAGGGAAAACACTTAAATGACCACCAAGCCTAGGCTTCACAAGCCTGCTTCCCAAACACGAATAAGATTACGCTTTATAGGATGGTTCCTCAAACGTTGTTAACGTTAGAAGCTATGGCATTCGCATGGAACCCAGACTTTGAGGGCCTGAAGAAAACTTAAGAGTCAATTAAAAACCATCTCACTTTATAAATGAGGAAATAGAGGCTCAGCAAAGTTAAGTTCAAACCAGATCCCATGTCTTCTCTCCCAAGCAACATCTTCTATACCTAAACAAAAATACATGAATAAATTACACACACCTCTTTCAGAAGCTATATCCCTGTGAATAAAAAATTTAAAAGCCATCAAATATAATAATTCTGTTTATAGTGTGCATTATTAAATGGACACATTATAAACAAAGAGCTTAAATCTTTAGTAATAAACCTAAGGTTTTATTTAAATTTGATTTATTCCTCATTTCATGTTCACGACTCAGTTTTGAAAGGCAAACGAAAGAAGAGAATTTGTTGAGAAACTACCTGATATCCCTCCCCCCAAAGAAACAAACAAAGAAAGCAAGGTAAACTTTTAACTGGTCCTTAAGAATGGTACATTCTTTTCTCCAGGCATACCTGAAAGACAAGCTCAAAATTCAGCCAACGGTCCCCAAAAGACATTTTATTCCAGACTCAACTGCTGAGGTAGAAAGCCCATGGCCTTGGAACCTACGCAGGGCCGAAACAGCGAGGAATAAAACACAAACACGCTCCTATGTTGTTTTGGGCCCTAATTTTCAACTTGAAGAATGGCAAGTAACTACTCCTCAATCTAAACCACATTCCTTTGACCTTTCCTTGCTGAAAGAAAGGCATACTATGCCTGCTGGGAAAACTGGGCGTGAACTTCTGATAAAAGGCCCTCAAGGACCCAAGAAAGGTCTCTCCTGTGAGAAAGGTCACTCGGGCTCTAGTACCACCACTGCATTTGCATCATCTCTCCAACAGGGAAGAGCCTTAACTCACCAAACGATTTCACTTCAAAGGTAAGGCTGCAACATTTAACCTGAGGGGAAAGACCTCAATCTTGTTTAAACACACACACACACACATTTTAGAAATCTGTACCCTAAAACTAGCTTTGAAACAACAAAAAAAGCAAATTAAAGTTTCACAACTTGTTTTCTTGGCACTTTCCTGGATTGCCATAGCTGAAGAAAACCTGAGCAGTTTTTCTGTCGGGGCACTGTGTTAGTTCCCGGGGTGCTGTAATAACAATTATAATTAAGCAGGCATTCTTATGCAATGGAAATGCAGTGACTGCTTCTGTAGCCAAAATCGGAGGTGGTCAAACACTCGGTGAGAGTTAGAATTATTCCAGATTTATTCACTCAAAAAACAACTGAGGTACCCATGACAAAGTTCTATGCTATTTACTTTGGGGATGCAAAAATACAGAAGGAATATCTCCTGCCTTCAAGCAATTCAGTCAGAAAAGTATGGGAAGTAAGGCTGCACTGGCAACCCAGACTAAGTTAATTATCTCTAGAAAGTAATATTCAGCAACAGGCAAAGGAGTCGACGGGGCTGTAATATCTAAGCAAACTGCAGAATCAGCCCAGGCATTCACTGGGCTGTTAGTTCCCCGAGGTGGTGGGCAGCAGGAAAGGGGGTGTACCAGCAAGGACCTGAACCGGTGGCCCTAAGACACAGAGGATACTACAAATCGGTAAGAAACCCTACTACTACAGCTAAAGGTGTTTTTTGGTTTTTGTGGGGTTTTTTTGTAACGTAAGTTTTTAAAAGATGACTCCAATGACACAAAAAGTTAAATATTTTTAGACAGTATTTCAGCCACCCCTCTCCAGCTTAATGAGCACTGTCTCAAAACCTCCAAAAATGGGCATAATAGAGTTAAAGCAAGCCAGTCTCCTGTTTGCATGCTTCGGAATTTGAAATGCGATGCAACTATTTCGACTCACCATGGAAAGCAACAAATAGAACGTCGAAGTAAATTTTTTTCTAATATCCAAGAACACTTTTAGATCGAGAAAACGTCATATCCAATTTTTTTTAGACGAAATATTGCTGCTTTTTAAACAACATTCCCTATTTTGCTACACAACCCACAAACGCTCCAGGATTTCGGAAAATTGGGTGGACAGAGTGGCCACAAAATGAAGCGTTAACCTTACAACGGCACACGCTTTTGCAGCGTGTTAAGATATGCCGAGGTCCTAGAAGCTGGGGTCGTAAAGTGAATTTAGTTTCCTTCTGTGACTCCGACGAGTGCATTTTCAAAACTGCGTGACTACTCCACTCCTAACTTGGACTGTTTTAATGCCCCTACGGGGAAGGACAATTACACAGAGCAAATAAATACGAGTTAAGTTAACTGCAATTCCCCATTTGCACCCTCACCACTAACCCCAACTGCGAACTACGAGCAACAACAGGGATCCAATCGGAAAACAGGATCCTATTTTTGGCAGAGAGCTCGTTAAAGGGAGAAAACCCCGAACTTTGGGGGATTAGTCTCAAGGAATGCTCACCAATTGTTTCTCCCCGAAGCAGCACTCGGCCTACAGCACACCCGGGCGGAGGCAGGGGTGCGCCGGGCGACCCCTGCACGCGGGCGGCGGCCGGCGCCCGGGTTACCTGCGGGGTCAGCGCGCGCTCCCGCCGGGCGCGGGACCGGGGGCGCGCCGAGGCGGCGGAGCAGGCCGGGCCCGACTCGCGGGCGCTCGGCCGGCGCCGGGGGGCTCCGTCCCGTTTGGCCGCCGCACTCGCATCCCTGCGCGCCTCCCCGGCCCGCTCCCCCAAGAGAACAGGGCAAAGGGGCGACTATTACCCAGTAATAGCGCCCCGCACAGTCGCAACAATGCGGGCGAGGAACCCGGGAGCCGCGGGCAGGGAACCGGAAAGCAGAGAGCCCGGCTCCGCGGCTCCTTCAGCGCGCGAGCCCAGTACTTTACTTGAGAGAACGAGTCCGGGGCAAGCGACGCTCGGGGTAGAAGTGATCCCGAGGGGGCGGGGGAGAGAGGGCACGGGTCCGGGCGCCCCGCGGGGGTCGCCGCCCGAGGAGAGGCGAGGTTCGCACGCCCGGCCACCCGGGGCCGCCCGCCGACCCGGCTCCGCGGCCCGAGCCCGGTTGCGCTGGGAAAGGG